ATCTAGGGATAATTGCTATCTTGTAGAACTTGACTTGAAATGTAATAAAACCAGTGGTGATTTGTCTGAACTATGGCATCAAAAACTAGGGCACATTAACTATCCTCATCTGATTGAACTCTCTTCCACAGGAGCTGTTCGAGGGTTGCCAAAGCTGAAAAAGGAAGAACCACGAATTTGCGGTTCATGCCAGTTGGGAAAACAGAAAAGGGCTTCACACAAGAAGTTGGCAGAGGTCAGTACAAACCGTGTCATGGAACTGATTCACATGGACCTAATGGGACCAATTCAGGTTGAAAGCTACAGCGGTAAGAAGTATATTCTAGTCTGTGTGGATGACTTCTCCAGATTTTCATGGGTTGATTTTCTTAAACATAAGTCTGAAGCACTTGATGCTTTCAAAAAACTGGCTTTAAAACTTGAAAATGAAAAACAAACTAATCTGGTGGCAATCCGGAGTGATCACGGTAAGGAATTTGAAAACCGGGGTTTTGAGCTATTTTGTGAATCACGAGGTATATCTCACCAATTTTCTTCTCCTATCACTCCACAGCAAAATGGGGTTGTTGAACGTAAGAACAGGACCCTTCAAGAAATGGCGAGAGTTATGTTAGCTTCACAGGGCATGTCTTTAAAATGGTGGGCAGAGGCTGTGAACACGGCATGCCACATAATTAACCGTGTTTATTGCAGGAAGGGGACTGGAGTTACTTCATATGAACTGTGGAAAGGTAAGGCACCAAATGTGAAATATTTTCACATCTTTGGGTGCAAGTGCTATATTTATAATGATAGGGAACATCTTGGTAAGTTTGAATCCAAGAGTGATGAGGGTCAGTTCCTTGGGTACTCTGCTAATAGTCGTGCTTTTCGTGTGTATAACCTTCGTACTGAGGTGGTTATGGAGTCTATAAATGTTGTTTTTGATGATGGTCTTGAAAGTGCTGTTATACCTGAAGTAATTAACCTAGATGTGTCCAGCAGTAAAAGATTGTCAAGTCCAGAATCTGTGAATATGTTAAATGATGTTAAGTCTGAGACCCCTGAACATGATAAAACTGAGGAGTCAAATGAATATGTGGTTCCAACATCCTTCGGAAATCTGGATGAATCTCGGCGAGATCCTCCTGCCAAGATTCAGAAAGATCATCCCAAGGATCAAATCATAGGAGGCCTATCTGAACGTAATACTAGAGGAGTCAAACCAGACTATCGTAAGATGGCTGGTTT